GCTGCTGCTGCTGCGGCTGCTGCTGCTGTTGTTGCTGCTGCGGCTGCTGCTGCTGCTGCTGCTGCGCCTCTTGAACAGGCGACGTTGCTGCTTGCTGCTGTTGTTTGCCATTGTTAATTGAAGGAGAACTCTCCGCTGCTGCTGCTTGAGCTGCTGCTGCAGGTGCTGCTGCTGCTGCTGCAGGAGCTGCTGCTGCTGCAGGAGCTGCTCCTGCTGCTGCTGCTGCTGTTTGGTCCTCCATTGCGATTCAACTGTAGATGAAAATGTCCTAAAAAGCACGGAAATATAATGCTCGACTGCTGCTGCTGCTGCTGCTGCTGCTGCTGCTGCTGCTGCTGCTGCTACTGCTGCTGCTGCTGCTGCTGCAGTGGTTGCTGTTACAGGCAAGCCCCAAGATAAGAGGGGGGTCGGAAAGCTTCAATGAAGCCTATCAGCAAAGTGCTGTGCTTGCTGCTATTGTTGTTCCTGTTGCTGCTGCTGCTGCTGCTGCTGCTGCTGCTGCTGTTGCTGCTGCAGCAGGGGCTTGTGTGTGGGATCGGCTGCGGCACTGAAGGGGCCTCTGAGGAGTACTTTGGGCTTGTTGCTGCCACAGTAGCAGCAGCAGCTGCTGCTGCTGTTGCTTGAGTGGTTTCTGCTGTTCGCCGGTGTTGCTGCTGCAGCTGCTGTTGCTGCTGCTGCTGCTGCTGCTGCTGCTGCTCTGCTTTCCGCACATACGCGGCAGTGTTTCTAAGGCATAGGGGTTGATACTAGAAGAAATAGCAGCAAGTTGTGAGAAAAAGCAGAAAAAACGGTGTTTGCTGCTGTGTGCTGCTGCTGCTGCTGTTGCTGCTGCTGCTGCTGCTGCTGCTGCTGCTGGTATCGGGGGCCTCACTAGCTACGCCGGCACTGCAGCAGCAGGAGTGCAGCAGCAGCAGGCTGTCCTGGTGTTTTATTTCTATAATTTAATTATATTAATGTAATTTAATTGTAAAAAATAAATAAAATATTAAATATTTTAACAAAAAATAAAACAAAGAAGCAGCGCAGCAGCTGGCGCGGTGCTTCGAGCCGTACATAGACCGGTGGTCCTCGGCGGTAGATCCTTCTCTGTTGTTTTCTCTTTTATTTGTTTAAAATTTTTGTTTTTTTTAATTTATTTTTATTTTTTTTATTATTAAATATATATTTTCACTTTATTTTTATTCTTTTATCCCTTTTCTTACTCTATACCGAGAGGGTGCTGCAGCCGCCTCAGCAGCAAGCCGCTCTCTCGTAGCAGCAAAGAGAGAGAAGGAGGTGTATATAGAAAAAATAAAAAAATAAAAAAATAAAAATAAAAATAAAAATATATAAATAAATATGTTTATTATTATAATATAAATAATAAAATATAAAAAATAATATATTAATTAATAGGTTTATTGCTACATTTTATTTGTTATAGGATATTATATTATTTATATTATTATAATATAAAAATAATTTTTTTTTTTTTTTTTTTTTTTTTTTTTTTTTTTTTTTTTTTTTTTTTTTTT